TTCCTGCTGGTGTCTGATGAAGGAGGATTTGACTCTTGAAAGCAGATACCCCAAAGACCTCGTTGGTACTACTGGACTTGAATGTCACACTATATGGAAGGAAAGAACTCGGGAGCATAAGATGCCTCGTTTTGGTCATGTGCGCGGCCTCAGATTCTGGCAAGCTTCACGATGTGCGCGTGAAGAGGAGCTTAAGCCTGGATTTTCTGTGCTTTATCTAAAATCTCCTTGTAAGCAAGCCTGGATCTGGCATAACGTTTCCTTGGGATTTCTGCAGACTCTGGAGCTCCCGGTGACACTATTTTTGCGCTCCCGACTTCTGTAAACCCCTGCTCGCTTTGGAGGTGGCAATGAACGAGCGAAGGAAGGAGTGAATTAATGAAGGGACTCTCACAGTTTTACAGTGTGGAATTAAGAGCTGGTCCCACAGATTTCAAGGGGGCTCACAGGTCAATTCTCTTTATCTGTTCCGTGCTCCTAAAACCAAGCAAGCCTCCATCTTGACATTATTGTGACATGGCTGAGAGGTCAAAGGCAGCCTGACCTTCCACTAGGATTATCCTTCAACAGTCTACTCACATTTCCCTTGTTCTGTTTTACTCCCCTCCATAAAAAGGAGGCAGAGCACACAGGCAAAAAGAAGCCGGAAGTCTTCCAAGCTCCACTTCTTCCTCATCTTTGCCAGCAAAAACTAAGCAAAACGATCCTCGGATGTGGTGAATTCTGGACCTGTAAGGGAAGAAGATCTGAAGTTGTTTAAGATGGAAAGGAATCTTTACAACAAAAGCTTTTGAAGTCAAGAGGGAGAATCAAAGTACAAATTAGTGAAGTTGCCAGGACAAGAAACTAGTTTGTAGAGATTGTCCTGTGGGGCTTTGGAACCTCCTGTGTTCAATCCAGTTTTGTTTTCTAAGCACTTGGGGGGGAAATACAAGGAAGAAAACAGTTAAGCATAATGAAGGAGACTGTGGTCAGCAGTTACTATGACCTGTCACTCTGGTGAACTTGATTACTTCAGCATTTCATGTAGAAAAATCACAGACTATTTCTTTAGCTTCCCCCCCCCCTCCAGTTATTTCTTTTTCAGACATGACCTACCACTTTATTATATCCCATGTGCCCAGTTGTACCTCAAAATGTTACAGTTTTATTCAGGGCTTTTTTTGTAGAAAAAGCCCAGCAGGAACTCATTAGCATAATAGGCCACACCCAGCAGCAGAAACTAATTAGCATATTAGGCCACATACCCAACAACACCGCTCATTCACATATTAGGCCACACACCCATGCCCTCCCTTGGCCTGCGGAGAGCCCGGGCAAGCCAGCCCTTGGAGGGAAGGGAAGGCGCAAGTGGACAGGCCCAATCCTTCCAGCCCCCCCCCCACCTGCCTGCCTGCCTCGGAGTCTCTGGGGGGGGGTCGCTGTCCAGGCCTTCCCTCTGTGGCCACGCACACGCAGAGGTTTTGGCTGTGGTGGGCGTGGCCAACTCTGAAGCCAGCCGGAACTCCGTTCCTGTGCGTTCCTGCCCCAAAATAGCCCTGGTCTTATTCTGTCTTGGGCAATAGAGCTTTAATTCCAGTTGCACATTCATTGCTACAACTGTTTCCCTGCTTTTCTTCATATTGTTTTGGTGTTTGTTTTTTTAAAGTAATGGCTGTCTAAGCTGTCTAGGCTGGCCCGATCTCATTAGATCTCGGAAACTAAGCAGGGTCAGCTCTGGTTAGTACTTGGATGGGAGACCACCAAGGAAATCCAGGATGGCTACAAGGAGGAGGAGGAGGAGAAGAGATTGGATTTATACCCCACCCTTCACTCACGGTCTCAGAGCGGCTTACAAACTCCCTTCCCTTCCCCTCCCCACAACAGACACCCTGTGAGGCAGGGTGGGGCTGAGAGAGCTCTGGCAGAAACTGCTCTTTTTCAAGGACAGCTCTGACAGAACTATGGCTTGCCCAAAGTCATCCAGCAGCTGCAAGTGGAGGAGTGGGGAACCAAACCCGGTTCTCCCAGAGTCCACACACTTCAACACTATACCAAACTGGCTACAAACAGGTAGGCTATGGCATCTATAAGTCACTATAAGAGGGCCGTGACTTGATAGCACTTTCCACCACCCAAAGCCCTGGAAGTCAAATCCACAGGAGACAATAAACAGCATCTGTTTTTCAGGAAATTCAGTCTGAATTACTAGACATCACAAAAAACAAGAGAGTCAGGCCCTCCCCTAGCACTGGGTGGCAGTTGTGGAGGTGGGGGGCATTGCCTAGGCATTTGGATGATGGCTTAATGATGGAACACATGTTTTGCATACAGGGTGTCCCCAGTTCAGTACCTGGTGTTTCCTGTTACAGGATCCCAGGTAGCAGCTGGTGGAAAAGGCCTTTCTCTGCACGAGACCCTGGAGAACTGTTGCCAGTCAGAGGAGACAAGACGAGTTTCGACAGGCCGGTATTCTGATCAGGGGTCGTTTAGTAGAAAAAGAGCTAGGGGAACTCATTAGCATAACTCATTAGCATATGCCACACCCCCTGACATCACCGGACGTGTGTCATAAGGCCACACACCCCGCCCCCAACAGTCCCGGCCGCCGACAGCCTTGCAGCTCCACTGCTGAGCCCCATGAGGGGCCCGGCGGTGGACCTGCAAGGCCGTCGGGAGTGCAAGGAAGCCCCGCGAAGGCCCTCCCTGGCCCCAGGCAGACAGGGTTGGGGAGAGGCAGGGAGGAAGCAACTTACCCTCCCTCTTCTCCTGCCTCCTCCTGGCTGAATGAGGGCCGGAAGCGGGGCGGCCGGAAGCAGGGGGCGGGGCTTCGTCATGTGCCCTGCCCCCATACCTCACCCGGGGGAACTGCGATCCCCCCCCGAAATGACCTCTGATTCTGATTCAGAATGCAGCTGCTTCATATAAGCTTCATTCAGTTCACACAGAACATGCAGACATGAAGCTAACATAGTGAATCAGTCCCTTGGTCCATCAAAGTCAGCATTGTCTACACAGACTGGCAGCAGCTCTTCAGTGGTCTAAGGCCAAGATCTTTCAGGTCACCTACTACCTGATCTTTTTCCTCGGGAAATGCCACGGGTTGAGACTTCAACCTTCTGCAGGCCAAGCAGATGTTCTGTCACTGATCCTCAGCCTCTTCCACATGAACATAAACCGGTCAGAGATTGTGAAGGGATTCTAAACTACCAGGGGCATATATCCAAAATACAGTCAGCTCAACCAACCATTCCAACTCTCATCTGCTTGAATTATTCAAGGGTGAACTTTGAAGTTCTGTTAATTCCACTGGTTAGTTCAGCATGCACTCAAGTGTCTAAGAGTGTTTAACATTATGCTTGTGTGTATAAAATAATCATGAGTTTTTACTCCGTCAGTTGCTTGATTCAATCTGAATAGATATGTATATGAGCAAAAACTTTTCTTCCTGTGGGCATCACCAGAAATTCCCCCCTTCCCCAGTTTTATTCAGGATGAAATGCCTCCTCTAAGGTGGGTCCCATCCCGTTGCACTTTTTTGACAGTTCTGTGTTAAAAATGGTTTTTAAAAAACCTCCTACCTGATAAAGAGCAGCCTTTTGATTGCTCAAAAGCTTTGCTTTTGATTGGTCTGAGCATTTCATTCAAAATTGCAGACATAAAGTGGGGGGTGGGGGTGGGATTCTAACTTGCCTGTATATCATCATCATCATCATCATCAAGTTTATTGTATTAGCCATTGGCCATAACAAAACATAAATACAAACACAATCCTTATACATCACATTAAGTTATCCCTTCAGTAACTTGCACTGAATCCTAGCCTTAATCTTATCTTTTTTGCCGCCAAAGCAAACAGGGACATTCTGCTGGTAACATATACATCCATATCAGAGAACAAAAAACAACCAACTCCTGTTTTGAGAATCCATTGTGCAAAGGTAAAATAGGGTATATAAATCTCTGCCTAAGTGATTCGTGCCATGAGCATCTCAGTAAATAGTGCTCAATAAACTTGCCTGTATATACCAGGGGCAAAACCATAGAGATACTATATGCCAGGAAGGAACCGTGGAATTAGAGAGGTTGTTGCTGAGCACCATGTTTTTCAAAAAAATTCTGCTTATTTCTCAGTAAAATGAGAGTGCCCATTTTAGTACAATACTGAGAAATTCAGATCTGAACAGGACAGACAAGTGCAGAGTCTCATAGCCTGCAACTTCCCTAGATTGTATTGTGGATATTTTGGTTTCAGAGCGCTGCTATTGTTAAGCAACATTTTTGTGGTGGATTAAAGGAGGCATCAGAGATCCCGAAACAGATCAAACACAGTCAGCAGCTTTAACAAAAAATCGCTCCCCGTGCAGAACTGCATGCACACAAAAGCCAGTTCCTAACAACCACTACTCTGTGTGTTTGTGTGTGTGTGTGTGTGTGTGTGTGTATCCTTTGCCTGCCCGCTGAGCCTTTGCTTATTAGGGTCTTAGAGGGGGCTGGTCCTTACTATATACAAGGAGCCCCCACCCCACTCCACCTTGGCAAATACTCCTCCTGCCGTAAGATTGTATATTTTGTTAACGTCTCCCAGGCTTCCAAAAGAAAAATACACACTATATGTACGTTCGCATGCCATCTCTATCATAATGTCAGGCATTTTGCTAAGAATTTCCCAGCACTAAGTCCACCACACACTAGTGCGACCAAGAAACATAATGAAGCACAAGAGAACGAATGACTCGGAGAGGTACAGCCGCCATTTGCAAACCATTATCACCCCTTTCAAGCAAAAGGAAATTGTGCTTTCGGCCCGCGTGCTCGATACAGAGAGCTGTTTAATTTAGGGTTGCCAGGTCCCGCAGGCGGGGTTTGCCTGCCCAACGGGCCCCTTACCTGCTGGCCCAGATCCGGCCGCCGGGGGGAACCCCACCCACAAAGTGCCAGCATCGCGGCAACGTGCCCAGTGTGATGATGTCACCCGGAGGTGACATCATCACGCCGTGGTACGTTGCGAGGGGACGCTCTAGCATTTGAGGGAAAACTCTATGGTTTCCCCTCAAATGGCAGTGGCCCCGCCCCCAATGTGCCTGACATGATGACGTCACTTCTGGGTGAGGGACCGGGGGACCCCCCCACCCAGGGCCAGCTCACTCACTAGGCGATCGCCTAGAGCGGGCTGGCCCTTAGGGGTGCCAAACTGCACCTGGCCCCGTACTCTGGGAGTTTCTTGATTATTTGTGTTTTTCATTCTGCCTAAAATGCATTTATTTTTGAAAAATGGTGGGTGCACGGGGGGACACCAGAAGGGATCCTCGCCTAGGGTGCAAAATAAGCTGGGGCCGGCCCTGCCCCCGCCGCAAGCCAGGTAAGACCTGGCAACCCTATGATGCAAAATTAAGACACAGGGAGGGGAAAACAAACTTAACCCCAAAACTGGAATCAAGAACCACAAGGGTGAGAAAAAAGTCTGATAAAGGGCCAGTATTAAAAACCTAGTTGAAACTTATACAAAAAATACACGTATTTATTGGAAAGACAGTTAAAAACAAATAAGGGCCCAATGAAAGCCTCGCTACAAAGTCCAAGTGGCCTGAACGCAAGGGCCAATTACAAGTGACCTGATGCGTTTCCGCCCTATTACTGACAGTCACCTGGAATGCAGAACAAAACTATTGAATTGGCTGAAAATATAAATACTGCCGG